TAATAATAATAATAATAATAATAATAATAATAATAAATAATAATAATTAATAATAATTAATAAATAATAATAACACCAACAAAATAATAGATAATAACATTAATAATATAATAATAATAAATAATAAATAAACCAAACCTGATATAACTGTCCCATTGTTGTCATCGTCTGCGGTATTACGTTATTCACAAAGAAGAAGAGAGCATCCTCGGGACGTAAATGTATTCTATAAACATTAATAATAATAATAATAATAAATAATAATAATAATAAACATAATAAAAATAATAAACACAATAAATAATAATATAAGGCTGCATTGTAACACAAGTACCGTCATGCGGCAAAGACATTGAAACCTGACGAAGAATGTGATGAAAACAATATTGAATAATAGGCTCAGTGATAAAACATAACAATAATAAATTAAATTAATAATAATAATAATAATAATAATAATAATAATAATGATAATGATAATAATAATAATAATAACAATAATAATAACAATAATAATAACACAATAATATATGCAACCTTTTGCGTATAAGAAAATAAAACTGTCCAACAGTCAAATCCGACGGCACCAAATATTTCTTCTTGTCCAGATCACGAAGACGCGATTTTGGTGCTTTCTCAACGATTACCTTCAAAATTTTATTAGTAATAATAGTAATATATAATAATAACAATAATAATAACAATAATAAAATATAATAATAATAACAATAATAATGACAATAATAAAATATAATAATAATAACAATAATATATAATAATAATAATAAAGCTCATACGGGTATCCTATCGGGATATTTTCGTCTGATCTTCTCGCCTTCTGCACGGCGTTTCTCGAATGGATTTTCTTCTTTATATACCCACTTCATTTTCTATTATTATTCAGCAGCAACAACAATAATATTCACTATTGTTGTAAACAATAATAGTAATAATAAGAAATAACAGTATTATTTATTATTATTATTGCTTATTTCAGTGATGACAGCAACAACGGGTGCGTATGTTCACTGCAATTAATTTTATAATTAATAATTAGTACCGCAATTTTTGAAATTATAAACGACTTCGACACATTCATTTATAACAATGGGTAATNTTTTTACCCCCCCCCGCCGTATAGGGAACCCTAGCCTATACATTTGTATCGGCTAGGCTTCCCTATACGGGGAGGTGAGGGAGAATTATTCGTATCGGCTAGGGTTCCCCATACGTTGGGAAATTATCCATTTTTGGGTAATTTGGGGAGTCACACAGTAAAATAGGAGATCGGGAAATCAACTATAACGCTACACGTGTGAATAGTGAATTATTGTACCTGGAAGGGGGGGGAGGTAATAACGGACTGTCAAATCATCAAACAGGTGCAGACCATGGTTTCTCAACCCAGGGCAGGTGCTTGCATCCCCAAGCGGTGCGCGAAATGGCATTTCAAGTGGTGCGCGATGGTACTCTGGGGTGTTTCAGGTGGTGCGAGATGCTACTCTAGGGTATTTCAGGCGGTGCACGATGGTACTCTGGGGTATTTCAGGTGGTGCGAGATAACATCACAATAGGCTAGGGCTGAATTTCCACATAGTGCTATAAGTGTCAGCAAGACCTCAGGACGAATAAGCCTCAATTTTAAGTCAATACAACAAACCCCACGAAGATCTCACTAAACACAAGTCAATCTCATGCTTAATGCTGCGATGAATCTCAGTCCCACTTACAAGCCAGCTTACGATCACCCCAAAAATTATGTGTAATGCAACCCCTTTCACATTAATTAATATCAAAAATAATACAATAACACTGACATATTAAAACAATAATACGTAATACACTAACAAACAACAACACAAATATTACTGATCACGAATGACTCCTCAAAAATCAAAAATCACATGAAAGAACGCACAAACGTCCTCACACAGGGTG